TCTTTAAAATACTATAATATTGATAAGTCAAAAAATATAAATTTGTTTCCTGTTTCTGCATTAAAAATATAGAGTGGGTATGTAGAGATTAAAACAAGTTTGCCTGCTTTTGGAACTAACTTCTCATATACTGCATATTGATTAGGGAATGGTTTTCATCCATTTATTTGTGCGCACGTGTGTATTACGAATTGTTTATCATGCTGAATATCACAATCTGTCTGAATATGTATGCTATTTGAATTTAAAAAAAGGTCTTTCCTGTCCCATCAAGTGCCAAATTTTAATGAAATTCCATGTAGGAGTTGTGGTAATAAGGTACTGGACAGATGGACGGACAGATGGACTGTCAGTGATTCCTGTAAACCCTCTCCCCCCAAAATTATTTGCGGGGTTATGGAAAAAACCCACAAAAAACAAACCAAAAAAACAGAAGTTTGGTCAATTTCTGTCAAAGACGGATTTATCACATTCGGAAGAGATGCGTAGGTTATGCATACTTGTCGGGAACACCTGATCTCATTTTTGCTTTTTGTGAAAGCTCGAGAAGTTTTCAAGCATGTAAAAACATTATATACATTTCATCGCCAAAATCGATGATGGCATGGCAACTACCATCTAACTAGATAATTGTCGACAGAATGTTCAACATTTTTGCCTCATGATATTAACACTACTGCGGATCATCAGCAACCAAAACCTCAGGAAAATCAAAACGCAGATTTTTTTTAGCATTTTCTCCACTGTTTTGAAAAAATAGGATCCGTAGCAAAAGGAGGGACGATCGGGAAATTGGAAAGAGATGTTAGTGTGAAACTTGTTTCTTTGATTTTCAACTTGATCGTGATACTTATGTAAGAGTTACTTCCCTTAGACTATATGTTGATCACAAAGCGCGGGACATCGACTGTGCGACCTAGATTCAGTAAACCATAGATAAACACTTTAGAATCCTGTTTACAAACAGATTTGTATGCACACGTGTTTTGATTTTGAATTAATTCGCGAAGTTTAGTCCGCATGTACTTCAAAGTAAATGTCTATATTGGATAAGAGTGACCGCACCTTCGGTTAGCCTGTCAAGTGTGGCAAACCGGAAGGCAATGTTTTCCACACATGACAGGTTTATGCTTATTGAAGACATGAAAAAAAGAATGAACATTACTATATATGTATCATTTTATCATTCACAGTTGTGTTTAATTTTCGTTCCCTCTCAGTGTAACCCAATCCTCTTATCTTGTCCTACTTTATTTCGCTTCGTTCATACCTTTTCTAAATTCCGACCGTCCTGTTAAACTTTGTTCTGATGTCTTGTCTAACTTCCGACCGTCCTGTTAAACTTAGTTCTGATGTCCTGTCTAACTTCCGACCTGTTTAACCTTCGTTCTGATGTCATGTCTAATTTCCGACCGTCCTGTTAAATTTCGTTCTGATGTCATGTCTAACTTCCGACCGTCCTGTTTAACATTCGTTCTGATGTCATGTCTAACTTCCGACCTGTTTAACCTTCGTTCTTATGTCATGTCTAACTTCCGTCCGTCCTGTTTAACCTTCGTTCTGATGTCATGTCTAACTTCCGACCTGTTTAACCTTCGTTCTTTTGTCATGTCTAACTTCCGACCGTCCTGTTTAACCTTCGTTCTGATGTCATGTCTAACTTCCGACCGTCCTGTTTAACCTTCGTTCTGATGTCATGTCTAACTTCTGACCTGTTTAACCTTCGTTCTTATGTCATGTCTAACTTCCGACCGTCCTGTTTAACCTCCTACATGATGTCATGTCTGGTTTACATTATAATGTCATTTTAACATTGATTGTAATGTTGTGCATCTTTATTTATGTAAAGCCTAGTCCTTTTTCTCTTCCTGTCTAATCTCCAACCTGATGTCATGTGTAACTTCTGTTGTGATGTCCCTTTTGGCCTATCTTCTGATGTCCAATGTCCGTTTCCGTGTAGTGTCTAACTACCGTTTTCTTGTCACGTCTAATCTTTTTCTTGTTGTCATCGTTGCCCTCCTTGTGTTAAGTTCAACCTTTTCTCGTGTCATTTTGTACATCTGTTCATGTCATTAATTTTTTTCTTGTGCCTAACCATCTTCTCATGTGATTGATACCAGGTGACATGCTCCCCTAAATGTACCGAGATAATTTAATTTTATAAACTAATTATGCATGAAGTAAGAGATGGGGAAATGCAGTGATGTTCCAATCATACATTCGTGATTGAACTTTGTGTACTAACAGGCTATAATATGATGTTATGTAGTTTCCAGTGCTCGTTTGGTGCAACCAATTTACACACTAAACGAAAATGTTGAGTGACTGTGTGGGCAGATGGTACTTCAAATTTCAATTCAAAACAGGCTCTCTTTGTAAATACAAAGGGCAAGGGTTAACCTTGCTGAAGACAAATCAACGACATTCACAATAATACAAACTGGCTTTAAAAATCTAACATTCCCAAGTTATGCTATATTATAATTACAAACAAAAACTCAAGGGTAACAATCACGTATTTGTTTCCCATATTTTCTTTTCAACTGTTGCAATAAAAAGTATTTCAAGTATCAGAAAAGAAAATAGACTTTTTTCTTAGATGCTTTCAAATAAAGAATACACTGCAATACATTCTACCATACCATTTAATCATCTACAAACCACATGTAAAGGGAGACAATCGTTAGAAGAGTGCGTCAAACAACAATTTTACATGTAAAGGGAGCTAATCCCTTGCTGTTAACAATAAATAGTGGATTAAACTTGTTTAAGAGAACGATGACAATTGTAATGCAGATAATATACGTTAATGATTAACGTCAACTTCCATTCATATTTACAACACTTGCAGTACTCCAACAACCACCAAAATTGGAGAAATTTTAGTTTTAGTGTTATTTTCAGAATCAAAATGATAAAAAATGTTCTGAACCCACATCACTCAAACTCTCACCTCACCACATAAACAAGAGATCCCAGAAGGATCTTGGCGCCCACCATTGTTTGATCTTTATATGTTCTTCAAATGTTGGATCTTATCCCTTCTTTTCTCTGATTTTGCTCTTAGTGTTAAGACATTCAAACATTCCTTTGCAGAAATAGCAATAATTTTCACCTACCAAATCCCAAATGGCTACCTGGAAGACATTTTATTTCTTCTGATCAGCCAAAAAATCAAACGAGCACAAGGAAAGACCAAACGGAGCATACATGTGAAATTTGAGATATATCCATTCAGAACTTTTTAAGAGATGACAGTAACAATCGTTTCTAGGTAAAATCCAAGATGACTGCCTTCGGTCATTCTGTTTTTCCGATCAGTGCCAAACTCAATCAAGCACAACCAGGGACCTAATGGAACCTATACAAGAAATTTGAGAAAGATCTATAGAGTAGTTCTATAGAAATAGTGATAACAAACTTTCAAAGTCAAAATCCAAGATGGCCACTTGAGGGTCATTTTGTTTTCTTGTCATCAATTCCAAAATCATACAGGCACAACTAGGGATCAAGGAAAAAATACACATGAAATTTCAGAAAGATCTTTGCTGTTATTTTCAAGGAATAGCGATAATAAACTTTCCAAGTCAAAATCTAAGATGTCCCTCTGTCGGCCATTTTGTTATTCTGATCAGTCCCAAAATCAAACTGTACAACTAGGGACTAAGGAGAACCTATATCTGAAATTTAAGAAAGATTCATCACATACTTTTCAAGAAATGGCAATAACAATATTTCAAAGTCAAAATACAAGATGGCCGCCTTTTGGCAATTTTGTTTTTCTGATCAGACCCTAATTCGAATGAGCACAACTAGGGACTATGGGGAACCTACATATGAAATTTAAGAAAGACCCATTAAAAACTTTTCAAGAAAAAGCAATTACACACTTTCAAAGTTAAAATACAAGATGGCCACCTGTCAGCCATTTCGTTTTTTGATCAGACCCAAAATCAAAATGGGCACAACTACAGACCAAGGGGGACCTACATATGAAATTTGAGAAAAATCCATCTCTTACTTTTTAGGAAATAGTGATAACAAACTTCATTGAAAAAATCCAAGATGGCCACTTTTCAGCCATTTTGTTTTTTCGATCAGGCCCAAAATCCAATGAGGCACATCTAGGGACCAAGAGAAACCTACATATGCAAATTGAGAAAGATCCATTCCGTACTTCTCAAGAAATAGCAAAAACAAAAATTGTTTATGGACAGACGGCAGAGGACAGATCATGGATGCAGAGTGATTTAAATAGCCCATCATCTGATAACGGTGGGCTCAAAAGAGAGATAGAAAGAAAGAAAGGAAGAATAAACAAACAAGTTAAAAAAAAAATGTTTATTTTACAGAAAGCTGTATACTTTTAGAGCACTTAAACACATTCATTGAAATTTAAATACCAATTTTTTATCTTAAATATTCTCACATAATGAAATATGATCCATGAAAACGACTTGCATATGACAAATATCTACAAAAGTGCTGATGATAATGACATTCAGTCAATGAAGAAGGCAAAAGTATTATTAATAAAGTTCTAGTACAAGTTGTATATCATGTATCTTTCTGTTAATATAACAGTTTACAGTGTATCATGAATCTTTTTGTTAATATAACAGTTTACAGTGTATCATTGATCATTTTGTTAATATAACAGTTTCTAGTGCTTAAAGTTTCATTCTGTTATTCCTTTTGCTTTATATATGTGAGTTTCTGGTATATTACATGTATATACCTGATTTCAGTATATCATGATTATTGACTTAGATATACTAGGTAGAATTACTGTATCTTTTGATAGGGATTGCTTTCATGATTCTTTCATACCATTAGAGAAAAAAGTTAAAGATTCCATTATTTAGAAATTTATATAATGCACTGACATGGATTTCATTAGTTATAGAATATAAGACAGAATTAGCATTTAGTATTTATATAATTTGTGAAAACTCTAAAATGTTCTATTCACAAATACTTGAAGAACAAAACTGAGTTGGTCATATCACAGTTGTGACTTGAATATAAATTAACAACAAAAAATTACTTCATTAACTTGTGAAATTAATTTTTCTGCTTTGTAATCAAAGATACTTGTACATGTCTATTACAAGAATTCCCTGATTGCTATACATGTCAGCGATGACAGCTTAGAGATTTGTAGAGGACTGAAGACCCTTACTGATAAGAAAGGCCTCTTGTGTGGGGTCACGCCCAAGGAAGTTCCGCAGCATGTCAGCAGCATCCTGGATAACAGAAAATATAGGCACTATAAACCTTGTCTTGAAAAGCCCTACTTCCACGGTAAGTTATCTTACTATTACAAAATTATCAAAGTACAATACAATATTCTGTAAAACAAAAGATTTGTCCATTTATAGTAATTTCTTAATTGTTTTTTTAAAGCAAAATATTACAGTATTGTAGTTATTACTTAATCTCTTCAAAAACAAATGTATGAGTAGAACATCATATTTATTAATGTGATTCAGCAGTTTACTTCTCAGTGTGAAGTCATACTACAAGGAACTTTTACTTTTATACTACAAGTGTAAACAATAATTAATAAAAAGAAAACAATGAATATATCAACAAATGAATACATATTTGTATTTTATCAAACAACAAGAGATTCCATAAAGATCTTAGTCTCCATCATCGTATGATCACTATTGTTTCCTGTCAGCTGAATTATTTCCCTTCTTTTCTCAAGATTTTAATCAATACCTCTATAACATATCAATAAGAGTGATCAATAAAAAAATGAAAAAAAATGAAAGGTTCGAACAAAATTAGCTTTTCTCTCAAAAAAAAACAAACAAACGGAGAGACCACAGATGAAGGGCAATTTGAACAGCTCACCATCTGATGATGAATGGCTAAAAAATGACATGAAATATATGGTCCTTGTCAAGAGTTTAGTGATACATCTATAATGCACATCCTTAAATAAAAAGGTTCAAACAAAATTAGCTTTTCTCTCAAGAAAAAAAATCCATAAACTGAAGAAGTTAGTGATAAGTAAATGATGAATAAACAGTAGAGTAGGTATAGTTCTATAATGACTTACAATGGAGCCACCAGGGCGTAGAATATATTTCTTGTAGTCACCTCCAACCTTGGGGCTCATGATACCCTCCTTCCTGAACCGTGAGTAGAACATATCCATGCAGAAAACCTCGCTCCACTGAAACAGATGTATCACACAACATATGTTTACCAGATTTATTGTGATCGGGAAATTAATTTGTTAAAAAAAATAAATAAAAGTTTCGATATTTTAGGTATTATCATCTTTAATTTTTACATCTCCTGAGAAAGATCTAAGAATGTAATATCAGAAATTACCATTATGATAGAAATTTATATGCAGTGATGATAATTAGAAAACTTGTATTTAATTATAAACATCATCCTTAGAGATGATACATCTTAATTCTTTTATAAGTGACCAATCAGAGTGCTTTTTCTATTCACTGCATGGAAACCTGCCAATATCTTTATTCAGATACAAATGAAACAAAGATTGAATAATTGGTTGTTTTGTTAACTTTTTACTTTGTACCACCAATGATTTCATAAAAATTCACAAATGAAGCTGAATAGGGAGGTTTACCAATAATATTACTTGAATCAGACTTTTTATGAGAAATTGAAGGCCTTAGCTTATTGACATCATTAGAATAGAAGTTCTTGTAACACAACCAGTAGACGATTATAGTGACTACACGGTCACCTTCATCGGACAAATGAACAATGTGGAGCATACTTGTGCTGATGTAGTATGACATTACTAGTCTGAATAGAATATTCCACAATAGATGAGTACCACATATACTTACCTGTTACTCACTTTCATCTTTACCATGAAATATTCTATACTGAAATCTATGTTTCAATGCACTAGAACCACACCCACCATTTTGTCAAAACTGCATGTACAAGTATGTTTCATACCAAGTATCCATAGTACTGAGCGTCATATCCTCCTGCCAGATGACCAAATGAAGCAGGCATATTAGTTCCCACTGTCGACTCAATACCTAGAATTTCCTTAGAAAGACTGGCAAACAATGTAGCTGTATCAGCCTGTAAATATACGTCAAATGTATATTAAAAAAAAATGATGATGTCAGCATACTACACTTCAACAGAAGTAAGAAAAAGACATGAAACACTTGTGTGTTTCAAAAGGAGAATACAGAAAAAGAGATGTCATAATTTTTACAATGGATCACCATGGGAGTTTTTCTCAGGTGACCTAAGATGACATACAATATTTATTTGCTTCAATAGAAAAAAGACAATATTGTTGTTCAGTTCAAAGGTAGACAAGAAAGAGCAAAATGATTTTATAACACTTTTCTCACACTTCAATCACCTTGGTATGTTTATACACATCAAATATAAAGATTGTATCTACAAAAATTGTATTTGTCAAAATGAGATGAAATAACACCATGTCATACAAGATGCTTCATATTATCAGTGTAGGTTACGTATGTTCATCATCAATAAAAATTATCAGGATATGAACACAACTGAACTATTCAATATATAACAACAATGACAATAGTATTGTCATTTTCTCTATTTCTGTTCTGCTCTGTGTTATGCAAAACTGACTGAATCTCTCTGTTCCATTTATGTCCTGAAACAACGATATTTCAAAACTGCAATTGTTTGCAACTACATACAACTAACACACTGATAGCTACAAACTAAGATTAAAATACTGAAATGACTACATTTATAAAAAAAAATCTATGCTCTCGATTTTTGCTAGTCAATTGATTCATCACACAATTGTTTCACATTGTCAAGCTTACAATCACAGCGTATGACTGACCTCTGCCTGTGTATGAATAGTTTGATCAAAGGTGCCAAGCAAGATTTGGCGAAGGTTGAAAACTCCTGCATTCGCAATGCGACTTTGGAGGAGTTTGCCGAGCAGTTCCTCTGGAATGGCACTGTTATCTTTGTAGTGAGAGGACATCCGGGACAATGGCTCCTTCTCCCAACACCAGTTCTCCAACATCTGAGATGGAGCTTCCACAAAGTCACGTTCCACGTGGGTACCGCTGTCATATACCAAAGTCAATACTATCATAAAGAACACGATATCATTGTAAATCAGATTTTTTGTGTAAAATATACACATTTATTTACATGGAAATGCAGCTAAACCCAGATGTACCAAAATTTGTCAAACTTAAAATGCATGTTATTTTGAAATATTTTTAATTTGGTTATAAATACACATCTGGAGGTAAATTTATACAAAGTCTATGATGTTTGTAGGACATATACAATCAAAAATATGATACTATGATGCACAAAAGCTAACCAAGTATTTCTGAAAGGTGGATGGTCAAACTAGCAGTATTGCTCAGTCCAATCTTCCTAACTTTTGGATATAATTTGACCAGCTTTCTCCTGATAATGAATCCAAGTCTCCTCTCCTCAGCATTCAGTGTTCAGACAACATGTATGTGATTTAATCCAATATTTTGTGTCAATGTCTACATATGCTATTATGATGCACAACATATTAAAGAAAGGAAAAAGGTTGATAGACAGGTAAACACTATAGCTAAGTTCAATGTTCCTGGGGCTTTAATATAATCTTTGACTGGCTTTCTCCACATTAAAAATTCAAATCTCTCCTTAGCATTTGATCCAGTATTGTGTCAATGTCTGCTCTCTAATTCTATTTCTTACCTGAACATTGCAAAGTCTGCCTTGGCACAGATCTGATGCATGACGTGACCAAACTCATGAAAGTAAGTCTCTACCTGTAAGGCATACAAATGATACAGTAGTCATGATCACACGCCCACAATCACAGGAAATAGACACATTTTTACAGGAAACTTTACCCAACATAAAAAGAAATCTTCCTTACTAAGTACTGTAATTTCCTGTGCACAGTGATCAATATAATTTTCATGGGCAATCTGCCAGTACATCCTACATGTATTTATTTCAACAAATTATTAAAATGTCTCTGTTTTAGATAAAGTAAGCATCTGATTTTGTTTGGCTGAAATTGCTCCATTCCGACTAAAGAAAAATAAATTTCAAGGAAACATCTATTTCTCCATTGCGTGCTTCAAATTACATACCGACAGAATTCTGCCATCCCCACAGAACAAAGATTTTAAAGAATTTCCTTAATATAACATATTGGGCCCACCTGGGCCCACCCCTCCCTGGGCCACCCTCCCTCATATCACATAGTGGGGTGGGTACCATCCTGCTCCAGACATGCTGTTTATACAAAATTAATTTCATTTCCCCAATGGATGTTCCAGATCAAATTGGAACAGAATCCTAGCATTCTTACAAAAGGATTGTAAGCAGTTCATCCATATCCCTATATTGCCACATCTCTCTTGCCCCCAGGGAGACCAATTGTTTACATAGCATTGATTCTCCTTCAACCTACGATGCATCAGACCAAGTCAGGACAGAATCCATGCATTCATACAAAGATGTAGGAATTTAAACAATTTTCCGTAGTTTCCCTTTTGGGCCTTGAACAACCAATTAGACAAAACTGAGTCCTCTTCAGCACAGAACCGAATTAGGAAAGAATCCAGGCATTTCTACAGAAGGTGGATTTTAAAGTATTTACTTTCTTTCTCATTTAGGCTTTGCCCTTTCTACCCTGGAGAGCCCAGACCTACCATTTATACCATTTTCCTCTAGGATGCTTTAGACCAAATATGGATAGAATCCTGGCATTCCTACAGAAAAAGATTTTAAATGATTTGCTAAAGTTCCTCCTATCTGGTCCCGCCCCTAAGGTTCCAGAGGATCAGACCCACCATTTATACAAAATTGAGGCCCTTTCCCCTAAACATTGCTTCTGACCATATGTGGTCAGAATCTGTTAAGTTGTTCCCAACTAATAGCGATTTGCAGGAAACTGATGCATGGATGGATGGACAACAGATGCTGCAGCATGCCATAAGCCCTTCAGTCCAAGTGAGCAAAAAATGTTAAACATCATTTTTTCTGACAAACATCCGAATACCTTAGCATACCTCATCATGAGTTAGTAGAGAGGGTTTGTCTGCTGTGGGTTTGGTGAAGTTGGCCACCATTGCAGCTACAGACACCTGTCTCTCCCCATCGGACTGTACACATCCAGGCTATAGAAACAAGATTGTAGTCACTCCAAATAAAAATTATGTAAAAATGTTATCTAAAAGAAATAACAGAAATCACAATAACAAAGGTACCTTAGATTCTTATATGTTACCAAACACACACAGTTTAAAAAGACTTGGTTGGGATAGAATGTAGTAAGTACTGTAGTGGTACTGTACAATGTTACAAGATATGCAATGTACAGGGACAATAGGACTACTGGGCAAAATTTGTGATTCCATGTCTCATAGTTTATATAAATTTAGAAATAACTTATAAATAAATCAGGGATATGGTTTATTTATTTTCTAAATGAGTATGGTAAAGTGTATTTCCTAATTAACCATATATCTGAAGGTCAGACACATGTAGATCTGTAAGGTACAAAGTAAATATTTAAATACATTTGTAAGAGTGTTTTGTTTACAAAGTACCATAAATGGCCAGTATACAGTAGTATACAGAATTTAAATTAAGTCTTATGTTATTTACATCACAGATCTAATTTTTGTTGCTCTGAGCACACTGGCCACTGTCTAAAATTTTAAATTTTGAACAAAGAGACTAATAAACTCCGGGTCCAGGTGTATTCTGATATCTGTCAAATCAAAAATGATCTAAAAGCTTACGTACCTGAAGTCCAAAACATGCTGCATGGCCATATTTCCCCTCTCTTGGGTAAAGATCCAGGTAAAAGTATCCCAACAGTTCTCTGGATTCATTACAGGTAACACTGTACTGTAATAACAAACAATGTATTCATTACAGGTAACACTGTACTGTAATAACAAACAATGTATTATAATGTTATACAATTCTAACTTGTGTCCTACAGACCTTACATTTACCTGGAATTGTAAATGGTCATGCTGTACTATAATGGATTATGATGTATTATAATGTTATAATGTTGTAACTTGTGTCCTACAGACCTTACATTTGCCAGGAACTGTAACAGGTAACATTGTGCTATATTTTCAGTACATGGTCAATTTTTACTGACTTTTCATATCAGTTCACAATTTGTACATCAGTCATAAATTACCATGAAATATCAATTGTGAAAAATGTATTTTTCAATGTAAAAACAGTAACCAAAATTGTCCTTTTCATCCAGTGTTCTTCTTTTACTTTTAATTATGACATAATGTAAGGATGAATTACCATGGTAACATCTTCATGCCATGCTGGAGCACCATCCAACTTCTCAAACTTCAGGCTGAGGAGCTCCTGAAATATAAATACAGAATAATGCCATATATAGAACAATGAAAAAAGCATACTAACCAGAAAACACCCTAACCTACTTACCAAGGATCTGTCACTAAATACTGACTAGAGAACATTTTAAATGACTTACAAACTTTGTTGTGGGTGCTATGATGAAGCCCTCAAAATGAACAGCGTACCTTTTTTCCTCATGAGTCAGGCATGTGACTCATATACAGGTATTTACAATTCTGAATCACAGCTACATATATATAAAGGCAACACAATTTTAGGCTACCATTATGGCTATTGTGTTACATGGAATAGTTCTATCCTACAACCACTGATATAGAAGAAATATTACATGTAGTCTTGTCATATAAATTTGTAAGATGACATACCTGGTAAATGTCCAGTAATCCACTGGTAACAACTTGCATAGGGAAATATTCCTTGAGTTTGTTTTGATCCACGGCATATTTCTTCTCCTCTGACATTGTCATGTAGTACTTCAAGTCCCAGTAACGAATGGTATTGTCAAACTGGAACCCATACTTCTCACACTGTAACAAGAGAAATAAGTCATCATGCAGTCTGTATTCCAGTATCTGTTTGACTAGCTGGATCAGGCTGGATTGTTTATAAAATGAGGATTATTCTATTATATTTTGCTGATGGACCTTGACAAAGCCTTTAAAGGTTTCCTATCACAACTGCAGGTTTGTCCTGATTTATGACTGAAATAATAAATCTA